TGCTGTGTTCATCCAGCTCTACACCTTGTTATCTCACCAACACAATTCTTCTTGGAGGAGGGCTGGGAGAGAATAGTCAAGAGAAATATATTTTGCAGGCTAAGTAATATGTAACTGTCCCTTCATCCCTGCAACAGTAGGACTGAATCCAGTCCTTATTGACAGTTAAATGCCATTCTTGCTGAAGTAGATTGCTAGTTCAATTTCAGATGGGAAATGGTAACCTCAACTCATTTTTGGGGGTTGAAGTGCACAGCACACAAATTACCACATGGTTAAATCAAATGAACGATTTTATTCTGAGTCCAGAAAGTTAGCTTGTACTGGGGCCACATGCACAAGAGGAAGCACAGTTTTTTTTAAGTTTGAGGGCAGTTTGATTAAGAAATCATTACTGCTTACATGGGCATGCTGTATCTGGCTAGGCTATGCTCAGTTACAACAATGACTAGAAACAGTGAGGGAGAAAATGTTCAGTACTATGTGACACTTAGCATCCAATACCTTCAGAGGATGGAAAAATGCAATCAGAAAAAGATAATATCTTTTAAACCCTGAGGCTTTCACAATTACCCAGAAGCGATGATAATGTGTAAATAGAAAGGAATTCTTTGTTCTTATCATTCATGTTGTGGAATTTGCATGACTTAGTTTCACATTATTCAGTTGTTTAAAATGTAGGTGAACATTTCACAACATTGTTGTTTACGATTTTTGGCACACAAAACTGACGAAGGCACACAATATCTGGAAAATACTTCTGGACATATAATGCTGCTTTGAATAGCGTAAGTGCAACTGATGTACCTTTTTGTTTTAAATCAGGTTGTTCGGGCAACAAGTACCACAGTGCCAACGTATGTTGTTAGACCATCACCAGCAAGGTATATATGTTCCCAATTTTGAACCGCACGTGATCATAATTGACCTTACTCTGTCTACCATGTTTCCAATAGTCATTTGTGCAATTATGCTATTCTGCCCTGAGCTTGATATACTGAGAAGAAGAAAGTTGCATTTTTACAGTATTTTTCTTGAATCCAGGACGTTATAAAACCTTTTGCAGCCAATGAAGTGCATTTGAAGTGTACATGTATATAGTTATTGCTATGAAACACTACAGTTGATCTTTAAACACATCAAGATTTCAGAAATAGTAATAAGGAAAAAATTATTTTGGATTCATGAGGACATCAGTGGTGCCTTCAGCCATCAGGGAAACATGAGAACATTTGAATAAATTTATTTCTTTCTTAAGGTTTTGATTACAGATGCTTGTCATGTTGTGGTTTAGTATTGGTAAAAGAATGAATGAAGTGACACTTATAATTGATTTTCATGTGTACTCATTAAACATTCTGCTTTCAAGTGAAATCAGTTCAAGAATTTTACACAAATGACTTTTCACAAGCCAGGTTTCTAGTTTCTGGTTCCAGTTCCTTTGTCTGAAGGACTTTTTATTCTGCAGAGTACAAACATTTGTGAAGACTCATGTCCATGACATTAAAGCTCAACTTTGCAAAAACTTCACCAGGGAGCTTATCTAGTCAGTTAGCTTAAGTCACATGATCTCTTGGAAATACCGTTTTGACCCAGAGCTTGACAAAATGTGTTTCTGATCCTTTAATAAAAGAATGATCTGCACCAAACTGAAAACCCAATTATATTTACCTGAGAATCCAAGTTACCAAATAATAATATATTACAAACATCATCACACTTGCATTATTACAAAATCTGATATTATATATATAAAGCCACAATCTGCCAAGTAGGAGTGGAATCTTGCATACAGGAATAGTTTGTGGCACTGAGCATGAGAAGTGGGTGAAGCATAGCTGATGTCAAAATTGCATCTTGGATTTAAGCCCAAGGATGGAAATACAGATTGAAGCTGACATGCACATCAAAATCAATCCCTACCCTTGAAAGTCCCTGGATCCACTCACATGGTGTTGCCGATCAGAGAAAAGTTGCCCAACAAATAAAATGGAAGGAAATGATAAGGAGCTACTCCTCCAATCGTAGGTTGATTCCTCCATGCTTATTACACAGAGGTTCATACCAAGCATATGATGAAAGGGTAAGGTGAGTAGCAAGTCTGGAGGAAGTGGGGCAGGAACTGGAATCGATGATGGCCATAAGGCCAAGGATAAAGCCCAGGAGTGAGGCTGGGGGTAGCAAGGCAGGGAGTAGTGGGGATTGGGTGGTGGTGGTGGGACTGGGTGGGGGGTCACAAAGATGAAATGAGGCTGCAAGTTGGGGAGAGGACAGAGAGGCTGCAGAGGTGAGAAAATTGTTTTTCACTCTTTGATTAAAGAGCACTCAAATAATTGGGAATTAAATAAAAATGCTGTCAATTTAAATATCGTGGTGTCTCAGACATTGTTTTCCTGTGTATTGTGGCTTGGAGTCTAATGAGGCAGTGAGGATTGTTGGGTGATTCTTCTCTCTGCTGCGAAGAGAAACAACATCCTCTTCATATCAACACAAATACAGAAGGTATTGTTACTAAGCAACTGTAGTGCCTCAGAAGGAATGTCAGACTGATTAAGAAGCACCAGAAGACCAAAGCATTGTACTTAAATGTGGATCTCCTAAACCCCAAAAAAAAAGTTTTCAGCCTGGCCCACAATTGTACACGTGGATACTGCTGGGTAGCATATTTCATTGACGATTGACTTTTCTTCCAAATGAGCCATCTTGCTCCTGGTAAATTTCTCATTCTCGAATCTGAAGCCTCTCACTGGGTATCGATAGATATTTGCTATTTTGGTTTAAGCTTCTATCATTTTTCTTGAAACTAGTTTTTTGGTTTCCAACAAAAGCTTGAGCTGGCAAAATCTTGAGTGGCACCAACATCTGGTCTGAGGCTTGAGGGAATGCAGACTGTGGCCCTCCCCAACTGACCATAAATCTCCATCATTTGCCTTGAGGGAGAATGACTACATCTCTTCTTACCATTCTGAATGAAACTATATCTAAAAAACTGTGTTAGATGATATCCTTATTGGAATTTGGGTATTCAAAACAGAGGCAGATGGATTTTGATTTCAGTTCTGTGAAGGTAACTTTTTTTAACAAGTCAGTGGAACAGTTAGCTAATTACATAAATTCCAAGTTATCATTCGATTCAGTCAAATGCCTCGCAGGATACCTTTGCTGTTTATTTTCGAATATATATACTGTTGAGAATGTGATGGAGAGAGAAAGCAGACCAAAGGTCACTGATTTATTTTTGACTTCACTTCAGAAGACTCAGGCGTTCATGAGAACAGCTTCCTTCTAGCAGAAGAATTGAGTTTTCATTTGAACAAAACACTCTGGCTCAAAGGTTCTAGTTTGTGAAGTCTCCAAAGTGAGAAAGTCTGTATCAAATTAGTTCAAGAATGAGAACTGGGAATAGTTAAGTAAGAAATAAAGGAATTGGGGTGGGAGTGATATTTCTCTGAGATTGAATATTTGTATAAGGATATTGCTGGGAAACAGGTTGAAACTTGTTTTGTTGTTTATCTTCGGATCCTTCTGAACTGTCTTTTTTTAAAGCTTTGTTTGTTTTCTTTTTCTTTTGTTTCATAAGCTCGTGTTCTTATGTCAAAGAACACTGGCAGCCATATGTGACTATGTTTAACTGATAAACCACCATGGGACGCAAATGCAAAAACTTACGATGTACTGAGGCAGGTTTCTCCAGGGATCTAATTTTTTCAATATTATCATTTGTTCAGATCACTGATAAAACTCATGTGCTTAATGGTCAGATAGTACAGGATATCAAGATTATAATCACTGAATTTCCAGTTTCTTTAGATGGGGATCTGAACTATCGTGTAATTTTTTGACAATACACAAATTATTAACAGTATAATGATATTTATATTTTCTCTCCTGAAAATGTTTTTATTTCCTTTCAGGCCGCCACCACCATGCCCAGCACCTTCAAGGCCTGTCCCAACAACCCAAAGGGTATAGATGTTGATACACATGATACTCTACAGGAGTTTGTGCAGACAATTAAATTATGTATGCTCATTTACAATATTGCCTCCGCACAACTAGAGTGTCAACCACCTTTGCTGATTCATCCATGTTAAAGTTAATGCTTCTGTATTTTACATGTTTCATTTTTCTCAAGAAAACCATATCTGCCATTTCCAATCTTTGAAGGAATTTACAACTGAATACCTCTTACGTTTTTAATTTTTTTTCTGAAATATTTGAAATGTTTGATTTGGTTAGAGAAATTCTGTTGTTTAAACATGCTGGAAGTTTGCCCAGTTACTCTCTTTGGATACTTGCTGTGCAATAGCATGGAGGGGGATGAAACTATCACTACTGACAAGTAATTATTTTTACTGTTTTGAGAACTACACTCCCTCAAAATCAACATGTTCTGTCACTCCTACCTTTGCTTGTTTAAATAACCTGCTTCTGATGTTTTCTGCAGAAGATGACAGTGCTTCATATTGTTGGATGACATTGGGCAACCAGCAGAGAAACATGAGTTCATCGATCAGAGGCCCTTATTATACCTGCAGCAGAGTAGATTAACATTATTTGACTTTTCAATTTATTTAGCACTTAATTTATAATCATCCGTCTCAGCTCTTGATTTAATTGTGTCTCAATTTTAAATTGAGTTTGAAATATCAACAGTTTAAAAACAAGATTCTGTTTATTTTATATTTTGTTTCTACGCCTGAATGCAACTTCTGACACTCTACAACCAAGATGGAAGGGAGGCAATCTCTGCTCATGCTGCATTGTGATAAGCAGCAAGAAGGCTGTGACAGTTGGTCTGAATTGGTTTTTGACTTGAGTGTCTTTTTTAAGAGAACCTTAGTCCCTGGGTGCTCATCATGCAGTGAATTTCAGATGTGAAGTTGAATCTGACCACCATGTGGTACAACATTGCCGTGTATGTTAAACTGGCTGCTGTAAAGTTACTCCTTGGTACCACTGACAATTCATTATTGTCATTGTTTGCTTTTGTACTTCAGGAAACCACACACTTCAGCTGCTGTGTTGAATGTTCATTTCAATACCCTTTTTTAAGTGAAATTTTAATGGAAATCTCATGCAGCAAAGTGTACATAACTTCCATCTGGTGCTGGAAGGCTTCGCTCCATGTCTTGACAAGCTCTTGTATATTGTGGTGAATACTATCTGGTAGACATAACAGCGGAATTTAGTCAAACATAGCTGCAAAGACATTGGCAACCAAAATATTTTTCTAACCAAAAAAAATGATGGGGACAGACTTGGATAAATCTTATTCATTTCCCGCAGAGACACTGTATGTACCCTGGACAAATGGCACATGAGATGTTTAATGGAACTTAATTTTACAATGTGGTAGATGTGATTTACTATGCTATGATATTTTGCAGAATTTTTAATTGGCATTTCTGATTCAAGCTCTGTTGATTTATATCTAATCTATTCTCTGAAGCAAATAACCTTGTAGTCTCCAACAAAAAACAGGTTTATATTCTTAGACTTGGGATGCTGTTATGTATAGGGTTATTGTTCAAATTCCCATAGGAATGCATTGTCTTTCATGAAATTATGTTTGGATAATGGTTCATTACAACACTGATCTATGTAACACCCTCTTTTTTTAACCATGCTTTTTAAAATAGTCAAGTTCACCTCCTAAAATATTCCTAAACGTGAAGCATAGCCAGTCATGCATCTAAATGTATGATTCTGAAGTTATGGACTGGAATTTAACTCTAAATGGGTATCTTTGAATGAGTTTGAATCTCTCTCTGTTCTTTGATTTGAGAGTTGCCTATAGACTCCTAGATTAAATATGGGTGTTATGTTTGATGCAGCCAGACTTTGTAACTTTGTGGTTTCAATGTGCTCTGGACATGAGCTCATGACTTTTCATTTAAATATCCAAGTGACAGATGAACACCATTCAAGCATTTTCTTTCCACTGATAAAACTAATTTTACACATTTAGAATTGGTGTTCATTGAAATTTTTCCGTTTCTGGATGGAGGAATGCAATATCAAGATTGCGGTCTGCACAAATACATCAGATTGAAATACCCTCAGAGCCCTTTGTCTTTTTCTTTTGTGGCACGGACAGAATATTGCACCTTACTGTGAGCCAGGCAGTAATACTGGTGACCTTTTGTGCATAAAGTAAAATGCTATGAGTCAGGACCTGTTTGGTGTTCTTTTAGGTGGATTACCTGTTTATACATTTCAGACTAAAACAGCATCTGTGCTATGTAACTTAATCGAGAAGTGAATTCCAAGTTGAAACCCCACATGGGATTTGAGAGAACCTTGATGAAACTACTAAAGCTTTGTTGGTGGGCCTTCTTAAATTCACCAAAACGAAATAGATTTGAGGTTATAATTCAGTCCCAGGTATCTATCAATCTAAATTTAAAAAATCTCTTCACTTCACTTGAATATTTGCACTCGTTTAAAAGTGTTTTACTTTTTTCAAAAGTAATGATTTTTCTTATGAGATGTAAAGATATTATGCACCTGTGGATTACAAAGGGCTTTTATTTAATCTGTATAAAGAGCAATAGTGAAATAAAAATGATTCTTTTTCTAACTTGAAGTATTCATTTAATCTAGCCAAGATTTATTTGAAGTATAATGCTCATATATTGATTAGCAAGGACAGTGACTCTGACCTTTGGCCAAACTTGATTTGATGTTTTGCTTTATCCTTCATTGTACAGCTGTGTCGTTAATATTCCACTTTTTATATCTTTGCCAGCATTTAAAACATGCAAGCGATATTTGCCTTAGGTTTTCTGTTTTCAGTGTGTTGATTCATCTGGCTAAATAATGGTTGCGACTTCCAATGCATTAACGGTATCAGAAACTCCTCACCAGAAATGAGTTCCTACTTTGCACAGAAAATGTTCTAATGTGGATTCTTTGAAACTTCACGTAACATTTATTAACAGACAGTATATAATGGTAAGGCTATAGAGCAGCATGCTCCATGTCTTACATTTTCTTATCTTCTAGCGGGACAGAAACATTAAGTCCCTGGGCACCATTAACAGAGATGGGAAGAAATAATGCCATGGAGAAACATGAAAACAGGGATAAGAATTTTAAATTTCATACATTGCTTTACAAAAAACCAATAGAGGTCAGTGAGCATGGGGATTTTTGACTGGGCAGGACATGTACAGCTAAAGACCTGTGCAGAACTCATGTATAACAAGTAGGCTGCACAGTCTCTAAGAGGCTGCTAGAACTGAAAGTCATTTGAAAAGAAAACCGTTTGAGTTATGGAGCAGTTATTATAACTTCTGCAGCAATAAATGCAAATGTTCTGCATACAATGTCCCCATAAAACAGCGAATCCTCTGAAGTATTATAAAGAATGTCTGCATTCTTCCCACGAGTACTGTATTCACTTGTGGTCCATTTACCTCAGGAAGGATATATTTTCCATCGATGGAGTATAACAGATCTAATCAATGGAAAGGCAGGACTTTTGTACAAAACTCAATCTATATTCTCCGAAGTTTAGAGATGATATTTCCCCTGGCTGGGTGTTTGAGAAGCTTTATACATTGGAAGCAAAACGTTTGGATTCCAGTAATCGCATTCTCTGGCAATAAAGACCAACGTACTACTTGCGTTCCTACTTTCTTGCTGAATATTTATGTCAGCATTTTAAAGATTTGAATTTAAAATACTTTAAGCTTTCCAACATATTTTGCTGTTAACTTTTGTTGTTGACAATGTCAGCTACCCTACTTGACAGCCAACAATATACGATCATCATGCTAGCTATTTTTGGATCTAAACAAATGGGTAAAAGGGGGCCGCAGTGGGTCGTCTGTAACAACAGGTCGCCTTCTTTTAAGACAGAAACAATAGTTGACTGCAGAGTTCAATGCAAGGAAACAGCTGAGGGACTTCACTCAACAAAACTACTCAATCTCCAGAACATGTTGCACAGATCTTGAAAGTAAACAATGCAAAAATCCAAAGATTAGGGTGGATTTTATAATTGGTTATGTTATGGAAGGGGAGGATAGCCAAACCCCTCTGATAATTAAACCAAAACACAAGCCCAAACCTGTTATGACGGGAGTAGAGGTTCCCTTCTAATAATTACCCCCGAAACACCCAGAGAAGCTCGCCTTTCCAAAGAGTGGTTAAAAGAAAGAAAATCCCTGATCTCCGCTTGACAAGTAACAAGTAACAATTTACTTATTTAACCTTAACAATGAAGAAATTAACAGAATTATGAACAAATCGACAATTCCCCCTTAAACTACTACTTCCTAATACTGTTCAAATAAACACAGGTCCCACTTAATAAACTCAATTAATAAGAAAACAACAAGTCAAAACTTAATCTCTCCAAGTTTGCACAGACTGTCTTTTGGAATATTCTGTCTTCTCCACTCTCTTCAAATGCCTTTCTTTCACGAATTCTGCTGTCAGGGATTTTTGTTTGTCTCTGTAATTTCTTCAATGAGGCCTTTGAGCTAAAATACCATGTTACCTTTGATTAATTACATGGGCTTTCTGTGAGAACTAAATGGTGCTAACTCTTGACAAGTGGCAGATGCTCTCTGATTTTCCAAATGCCCTCGTCTTCTCGACCCATAATGACATAATCAAATTCTTTTAAAATGACTGGTTTCAGGTTGGCAACACCATCAGATTTAAATTCAAATGTCCTGTCTTGGAAAAAGTGCTGCTTGGCTGTTCTGTACCAAATGTTTCCATCGGGCATTCTCTATGCACCTGCACTTATAAACATCAAACCACAGAGAAAGCACAAGCTGTTAAAGGGATAATGGCACTCTTTTCCCCACGATCATTTTTACCAACAAATTCTAACTTCCTGCCTTCCAATTCATGAAGACTCCACCCAACTTTGTAACAGTTAATATCTTAGCACACATTTGTTCCAAAAGATATTTTTACTTCATTACTATACTTGGCTCTTGGACTTTATTAGGGGGAGTCAAGCAATCATATTGTCGTAGAATTCTGGTCACCCTTCTCTCGGAAGGATGCTGTTAAACATTGGAGGGTGCAGAATAAATTTACAATGATGTTGCCAGGATTGGAGGGTTTGAGTTGTAGGGAGATGCTGAAGAGGCTGGAGCTTTTTTCCCTGGAGTGTTGGAGGCTGAGGGGTGACCCTATACAAGTTTATAAAATTATGAAGGGCATAGATAAGATGAACAGCCAAGGCCTTTTTCTGAGGGTGGGTGACTGCCAAACTAGACAGCATAGGCCTAAGGTGAGAGGGAAAGACTTAAAATTAAAAAGGACCTGATGGGTAACTTTTTCACACACAGAGTGCATGTAAGGAATGAGCTGCTCGTGGAAGTGGTGCCTTTACAATATTTGAAATGGATTTGGATGGCCATAAATATAGAAAGGCTTTTGAGGTATAAGGGCCAGATGATGAGATGAGGTCAGATTGGGATGTCTGGTTGGTGTAGATAAGTTGGACTGTTTCCGTGCTGTATGACTCTATGACTATCCTAAAATAAAATATTGCTTTCCAATTATGTGAAAATATATGCAAAACAGCATTATCAGCAACACAGAGTACGTCACAAATTGCAGTAAGTTGTTTTGTGATCCCCAGTACTATCTAAGGAAATGTATATATTTAGGTATTTATTGTGCTGTTTTATAATCTGAATGGTCTGTGTGCCACGTGCACAGACTATCAGGCAGCTGGTACTGAATGTCTTTTGTCAAGGGCTTTGGCACACCAAAAATTTTCAGAGTAGAGGCTTTCAGTGTCAGTCAGTGTGAAATATTGACTTTACACTGGCACTGTGACCTTTGACCTTGCCATTCCAGCTAATGCCCTCTCTTTAATACCCAGATGAACGTGTGTTCAACAACAGCTGGATCCTCACTTGTTCTACTTAAAGTGACCATCAACTACACTGAGTCATTGTTGATTGTCCGAGTTTGGAAGAATGTATGAGATTTCAATTGCTGTTAAAAGTTAGTAAACAGATGGGAAATGGTGCTACATTGACTAGAGGTCTTAGTTTTAACTTCAAGGACTCTCATGATGACTTGCTCTCAGTTATAAGAGCTGCAGTTTTTGTTTTTCTTGATTTGTCCTGAAAATATGGGCTTCGCTGGTTGAACTAATATTTATTTACCATCCAGAGTCAAACTTGAGAAGGTGGTGATGAGCTTTTTTTGGGGGGGTGTAGGTAGACTCCCTGTTTGAGAGAGAGTTCCAGGATTTTGACCCAGTGGCTGTAAAGGGATATTGTTATATTTCCAAGTTGGAATGATGTGTTACTCAGAGCGGAACCTGCAAGTGGTAACTTGCAACTTGCAAGTTTGGTCTGGCTGGTCGAGGTCACACGTTTGAAAGGTGCTGCTAAAAATGCTTTAGTTGACATAAGTGTACTCTTGCAATCAGATAAAAAGGACTGAGAATTATGGCATGGAGACAGCTGAACCAAGTCAGCCTTTCTAGTTCCGTACTTGTAACACATTGAAATTAAAACCTTCAAAGGCTCTCAAAATTGACTGCAATGGTTCCTAACCAGATGTTGTGAATAAGTAATCCCAGAATCTGCAAATATTCAATTCCAGGCACCAGTTTGTATTTTAAACAAAAGACTTAGCAATTTATTAGCAATAGTGTTAGTTAGGGGCAGCACAGTGGCTCAGTGATTAGCACTGCTGCCTCACAGCACCAGGAACCCAGGTTCGATTCCAGACTCGGGCAACTGTCTGTGTGGAGTTTGCACATCCTCCCCGTGTCTGCGTGGGTTTCCTTCGGGTGCTCCGGTTTCCGCCCACAGTCCAAAGATGTGCAGGCTATGTGGATTGGCCATGCTAAATTGCCCGTAGTGTTCAAGGATGTGTAGATAAGATGAGTTATAGGGAAATGGGTCTGGGTGGGATGTTCTGAGTGTCGGTGTGGACTTGTTGAGCCAAAGGGCCTGTTTCCACACTGTAGGGATTCTATGATCTATGATCTTTAGCAGAACAAAATTGAACATAAAGTAAACTACTTGATCTTTGCTTTAATTACAAAAACCTGTGTTTCCAATCCCATTCAAACAAAACCGTTCAAGGTTTAAAAAAAAAGCAAATAACAAAACTGGCCAGAATACAGAAGTGGTTTCCACAATGTATTCTTCCATATGCAGAGATGATGATTTTCTGAACATGTCAATCAGGGTCACCTTTTCAGTTTAATCAGATAATGATAGTGATGCCGACAACTTAGTTTTCTATTCTCTGATCTTCCAAGAGCCACTCATGGGAGGTTAGGTAGGGACCTTTCAAATCTTCCGGTGACCCTTCCTCAGAACTGAAATGTTAATTCTGATTTTTCTTCACAGATGCTGCCTGACCTGCAGAGCTTTTCCAGCAACTTCTGTTTTTGGTCCTGATTTATCTTTAGGTTTTTATATAGTCTTTTCCAGACTTGCTGGGACCAATTTGTTGATAGTCAATTTCTGCTTTGTGTTTAAGCATAATGCTCTAGTCCTGTGACAAAGCATCTGCAGGACTTTTAATTCAAGCACCAACTTGAAATTAACTTCTTAGCCTCACAATGAAACAGAGGCTTGT